CCCCACACGACGACGTAGGTGCCATCGCGCCAGCACTCACGCCAACTTTAGATATTCGAGTTAAGGTGCCGTACTTGAGGTAGCACACTCCCCAGCCAAACGCAAACCCTGTGCAGCTGGGGTTGGCATCGCATATCGGACAACAGTCTTGAGCAGAACTAGCGGGGGCATTGGCCAAGTCGTTGCCTTGAAAGTCGGTGTCGCTCTCGATAACCCCACACGACGCGGCATACACATACTGAACTGCCAAGGTAGCAATCGCTATGACCAGCGCTAGTGAATTAGTACGCAGCATCAACGCGCGTGTTTGAGAGTAGAAATTAGACTGAGCCAAATTGACGCGAGGTACTTTTATACCTTGTGACGTATCTTTTGCAACAACCTGGAACGAAATTTCATACAATTGCACGATCTGAAGTGAAACTTGAACTTTTCCCAAATACCGGTACTGTACAGTACAAGCTGGGTATAAGGTGGTGTGTTGGTATGAGATCAGGGTTCAACCGGGGTCCCTATCCCAACTCTATCCAGTAACTGTAACTCAAAAGTTCGGTTTTAGTTACAGTACGGATAATTAGGACTTATCCGGGCACAAATCTGGTGAATGGGGACAAATACACCCGGATACACCCCAAATTATCCGTAACTTCGAAGGGGTACCTCTATTTTAACAGGTTTGGGATCGGGACATCGAGGATGAAGCCGCGTTCGAAAGCGACTACATTGCGTAGACGACGCTTCTTGGTGTTCAGAGCCTACGTAGAGCGCCCCCTGCTACTGCTCGATAATGAATTAACGTCTATTCTTCAGTGCTGTCTCTCTTCCATTATTGTGAGCAGCAAATGCAATCGTTGCACTTCGAGTCGACGTAGCTCTGTAGTGTATTTGGAATGCTGTAGACGTTACAATGGAATTGCTTACATCCAGTGTATTGTGGATGTCAGTTGGTCACACGACTCGATCGTGGTCTGTGTGCAGCACTTCCTCGTCGTGTGGAGTAGGTACAGTACTGTAGGAGTGTGAAGGCTCCGAGTCTTCAATAGTTTTACATGAGTGTTCTGTCTGCAGCGCTTCCTAGTCTTGCGGTCAAGGTACGGCGAAAGTTACGCACAACTGACACGAGTCTGT